ACTAAGGAAGATATAGTTCTAGAATTTGTTGATACTTTGCACCAATTAGCATATATCTTTACAAAACCTTTAGACAAGGAAAGATTTTGGACACTTAGGAGAGAATTAGGTTTGGCCAACCTATCTTCACTTAGTGTTTAAAATAATTTTAGCACCTTTAAGACTAAATGAAAAATGCTTAGAATAGTAATTTTTGATTGCATTCATTACTATTAGTTAGGGGGAGTTTATGATTCTTGATGAAAATTAACTTTATGTTCAAATATATTTTAAAGATTAATTTGATTGTTTGAACGTGATTAATTTTCAATATATGAGTTGCCAATACCACTAGAGAAAATTAATTTAGCATTTTGTGTGTTTAAAATTGGATTTTAGCATTTTGGTACAGAGGGAATCGATACCCCCATGAGGGAACCGATTCCCCTTGGGGTTCTGGTTTTATCGGGCATAACCCTTGGTTTTGGCTCAAAACCTCTCTTCTCTTCACGCCGTTTATCCCCTCTACCCTCTCATATCTCCATTCTTGCCTCAAAACAATATTTTTAATCGGAATTCTCTTCAAATATCATCTTCTAAACTTGCTAGCATCATTAAAATCGTGCAAACAACATCAAAATCCAATCAATCTCATCTTTCAAGGTAAATTTTTCTAAACTCTTTATTTCATTGATTTTGAACATATGACTAGTTTTAATTAGTTCTAGATAGAAATAGTGATCGGGCATTGATTATTTAGTGATTAGAAACTAGATATTACAACTAATTTCATCAAAAACGCAAGAATTTTCCAAAATTTTTGAAATTTTCGAAATAAAAAAAAATGTTTTTCAAATTATTGTGTTTTAATTGAATTATGTTATTGTTATGAAAACTATACATATATTGTTTTTCAAAATCTTATTTTTCAATAGTTTTCAAAAACTTTGCCCATTAGGATTGATTTAAAGAACCTTGAAATATTGAGGACTCAATTGAGTTTTGGGATTGATTGAATTGCATACATGTGTTTTCTAAATTGCAGGTTATCCATTCTATTCCGATTTCCTAAACCATGTCCAATCCTAAACGTTCTAGGTCATCATCTAGTCGCTCACACCGTCAACCAAATCCACCTCCAAATCATCCTCCTATTCCTGAAATTCCTAATCCTAATCCAGTTGATCCCAATATAACTATCCAAAATTCATGCTTCAATCATCCTGGTCCTAGAGATCATCATTTTTGGTATTATCAATATTTCGACTCTTACAAAATTAGAGAAGAATGTATCCCTTCTCGTCAAGCTATGTTAGATATTAATTTTAAATATCTTCCTCTTTTACAAGAGTGGAAATTTGATAAACTTTGTGACCTTGAACCTATAGTTTACCATCAACTTGTTTGCATCTTTTATTCTAATGTCGTTTGTGTCAAAAACCGAGCTCAAACTGAGACTATAGAAGTTTGTTCCTACCTCCTAGGACAATTCTTACATATTAACTCGGCTTACATAGCCAAGGCATTAGGATTAGATAACGATGGTATTTCAAATGAAAAACAAATTTTAGGTTCTTGTTATAAAAGAAGGGATAGTGTGAGTGTCTTAGACCTTCATGAACGTTTTCTTCATCTAATGATTTCTTGGTGGTTTCGACCATCCAGAGGTCGTTATTCTACTCTTAGAGCCTTAGATCTTTGGTTGTTACATTGTTTCGAAAACAATATTAAAATAAACCTACCTCAGATCATTTTTGCTGAAATTGTTGAAACCGTAAATCTTGTTCCTAACAAGAAACTCTGTTCATCTCTAGTTTACGGTTGCATTTTGAGTAATCTTTTTACTAAAGCCTAGCTTAGATTTGGTCTAGATGCCTCCTTTCCTCTAAAGAAACAAATTAATCTTCTTTCCTTAACGAGAGCGGGATGGATAAAGGATAAGGAAACCAGTGAATGAGTTCGATTTTCTGAAAATACTCCGGGAGCTAGTTCTTCACGAGCTCCACCAGAAGCTGACGACGATCCCGAGCTTGAACAATTAATGCGAGACATCGATGAAGCCGAAGATGAGCCTGAACAGCTCGAGGAGCAGCCCGAGGAGCAAGCACAACAAACGCATCAAATGCCTCCATATTTTCAATCTTTTATGGAGACATTCGATTTCCGATATGCTACCATGGATTCACGCTTTACTTCTATAGAGTCTCATTTATCCACAATGGGAGCTCAACAATTAGAAATTCTCTGAGAGATGCGCACAAACAACGCTTCGATGAATGAACGTATTGATGCACTCTCACATGAGATGGCCGCTATGAGAGCTCGTTTTCCTCCTCCCGATCCGAATGTTTGATTCTGTGTTTAGCTTTAGAACTTTGAACTAAAAGATTATTGTTTCAACATTTTGAATAGTTTGGAATGTTTGATTTTGTGGATTGTTAGACTTTGGATTTGTTTGGATGTTTTGAACTTATATATTTGGTGTGGTTAAATTTATTCATTGTTGCATCATTTACATCATGTTAGATATATGAGCAATTTTTCCATGTCACATTAATTATGAATATTGATTATGAAACTAATGGCTAACGTTTCTCTTGATTGTTATCTTAGCATCTTAAACTATATATATAATCAAATTGGCTAAATGATTTTAAAAACTTTGTTTAAAATCTTTTACGCGTCTTTTTGATTTAACAAAAAGCGGGAGAAGTGTTAAATGTTTTAAATGGGAGAAGTGTTAAAGTAAGGGGGAGTAATTTTTCAAAAACGTCGTTTTTTATTTCAAAATCTTAAAATTACTAAAATGTTTTGTTATATCAAAAAGGGGGAGATTGTTGAAAACATTTTGATATTTTGATATAACAAATTAAGTTAAATGAATTTTAAGATTTTCCAAAAATATTTTCTAAGTATATTCGATATAATTATTCGAATATCAAAACATTACTCTAAATCTTTCAAAAGTCATTTTTAATCCTTACTAAAGTGTAAAATTAAGTTTTAATCTTAAAACAATTTCAAAATAATTTTACAAAGTATTTCGAGCAGTTTCAAAGCCAAAAATTCCAGATTGCTAAGAGGGAATCGATTCCCCCAGGGGGTACCGATTCCTACCACTGTTCAACGGTCGAAATATTTGAATTTTACACTTAGGGAACCGATTCCCTCTGAGGGGTACTGATTCCCCCCACGCTCCAAACTGTTTTATTAATTGATTTCACACTAAAACGACTATATTATCTTCTTTAATGATCCCCAACGTTCAGAAGTGATTCAAGGTGTATTTAAGCAAGCTTAGAAGCCATTGATCAATAACAAGAAACATCAAGCAACTAGAATCAAGAGAGAATCAAAGAGAAAGCATCAAACCTCAAGTTTGAGCATTTCAAGCCTATTTTTCATTCAATATTCATTTTGCTTTCAAGAACACTTATTGTGCTCAATTGTATTCATTCTTGAGTGTTCTTTTCTTTGTTCTAGAATTGTGCAAACAATCTACCTTGTGAGGATTTCCTTGTAAGTTTGCAAATTTGTATTGTTCTCTTTGGGAGAGAGTGTTCTTAAGAATTTGGGGTATAATCCTTGAGGGTTTGTAAGGTTACTCTTTGTCCTCAAAAGAAAGACAAATTAGTGAATTTGTGGAAAATCCTTAGTGTGGATAGCTAAGGTAGTGGATGTAGACTTTGGTTGAGAAAGTCGAACCACTCTAAATCGCTGTGTAAATTTCTTTCAATTTTCTGCAAAAGCTTCCACCAAAATTTTAATTGTCAATTTACCCCCCTCTCGGCCATATTCGTCAATCGATTAACTCAATAGTTTTGAACATTTGAAAAATAGGAAAACATGAGATCTAGATTTTTAACTAACTTAACTTGCATGAATTCAAATTATTCTAATAATATTTTTGGCTTAATGGTGTCTGAAATCCTCAAACTTATGTAAAAAATAATTTGATCCTTGAATTTTTTTAATATTTTATTTTTTAGTATTTTTATATTTAATGTATTGAATATCTTAATAATTATTTATATTTTATATTTTAAAGTTAAAAATTATTTTTTTAAAATTAAATAAATCCTCAAACTTTCTAAAATCAATTATACAATCGAACTTAATCAAAAAAGCAATTAAGCTCATCTATCACATAATCGTCCATCGTGTACTACCATAACAATATCGTGAACTGTAACATCAATATTGTAGATTTTCATGTAAGTTTCGTTATTGTCATGTAAGTGTCATGACGACCAGTGTTTGATTCCGTTAGTTAAAGGATTAGATTGGGTTTTTTTCTTAGTTTAAGGGTCACATTGAGTGCAAAAAACGATTAGGACCTACATTTTCCCAAAAGTTTGAGGGCATAAATTACCACTAAACATATTTTTTATTTTAATGAAACTTTTGTGTGTTCTTATCTACAAAAATATTTTTTGTTTATTTTTTATATTTAATTGATGTCCAATATGCATTATTATATTATTATTATAAATTAAAATATTTTTTTGTTTTATGAAATTTTTGTCAACTTCATTATTTTATATTTGTATAAATCACATGTTAAATAAATATAATGATTTTTTTAATAATTATAATTTAATTGTTTAATAACTATTTGTTCATTTCTATTTTTTAAAAGAATAGATATCAAATATATTTTCATTTTTTATTTATGTATTCAAATTTTTATTTATATTAACCAAATATGTTTTCTAATTTTCAAAAAACTGATAATGAAAATTATTTTCTTAAAACAAAAATAAAAACAGAAAAATAGAAAATATTTTCTAAAACCAAATGAGTCCTCTTAAGTTTTCAAAGAGACAATCGCCTCGGTCAATCGCTTTGATCGATCCCTACATATATCTTAATATTTGCCGACCTCATGCAACTTCACTAATTCTGCACTGCTTATGGCAATGGAGTGGGTGCAGTAAACAGATCACAGCTTCATGAATTATATCTTATAGAAGAAATCCGGCTGATCCATGTTTTAGGTGTTGAATAATTTAGCAGAAGAGATCCAAAAGCTGAAAGTGTGATTACTTAAACTACATGTCCATGGTACATACACATATCTGTAATCTAACAACCTGAAGGGGAGAGCTTAAGATGAAGATCAATGCCTATCTCCGCCTCCGGCAATTTACTAGAAACTCCACTAAACTCCGACGCTGTAGCAGTAAAACACAACGGCTTTGCTACGTAAATTCGAGGAGGGTACCGAGAAGGAGTAGAGGGAAGCAGCAGTGGACTTGATGGACAATAACCAGAAGGCCGTTTTGGCACAAATTTAACAGCACTGTTGCTGGTGAAACCTGCAGGAAACCTCGGCGCCATCGACCTTACGGCATGGGGGCGTAAAACAGGTGCAGCAGCCGCTACGAACCGTTGATGGCCGTGAAACTCGGCCTGCCTAGCCCTTTGTCGCTCTCTCTTGTGTGCATTTTGATGGCCTCCTAATGCCTGAGAATTGGCGAACACTCGGTGGCAAAACGGACACTCGAATTTCTTGCTTTCTCCAAAATCTCCGGCTTTCTCGAAAGTTTCCCCTTGCTCCGTAAGAGAAAAACCAAATAGCTTAAGTGATGATTGTTTATCTGGTGCCATATCAGCTGAAGATGAACTGGTTGGAATTGAGCTCTCTGCCATTTAAGATGCAGAATGGGAGTCAACAATTATGAGTGTGATTATCAAAGTAAATGGTCCTATATTTATAGCCGACATTGTGCGGAATTATGGTGCTATATGGTAACAATTTCTTACTCCAAAGATTCAACCAATGATGCCAACAGAATTACAAAGAGCCTGGGAGGTACAAATTTTTGAAGGGGTAATTAGTATGTTTTACCTTTTTTTGGGTAAATTACACCTTAGGCCACTCCATTATTAGTATGATCACAAATGGTTATTCGAATGATTCACGTAATTAATTGAATGTCACGAACATATAATTGAGTCGTTAAATGATGAATGACTTTCTAAAGTGGAATATTTTATACATTCAAAATGTATTACTATGTTTTAGAGAGTTATAATAAAGTCACTAAATTTGAACCATAATTTTAGTTAAACCTTAATTTTTTTTGAAAAAAAATGTAAACTAAACCTTCAAAATTTTTAAAAATTTAATTTAAAGCTCTGAAATTTTTAATACTCAAACTTTATCACCAAGTTCCACACTGAATATAATGTTGAACTTGTCTCAATCAAACCAACCATGAGGCCACTCTATTATTTTGTAAGATTACAAATGGTTATTCAAATTATTCACTTAATTAATTGATTGTCACGAACATATAATTGAATCGTTAAATAATGAATGAACTTCTATCAAATCTCTAAAACCATAAGATACGGTAAAAATGTATTGAAATTGAAGCTTAGAGCCAATAACTTTCAAAATTGAGCATAATACTTTTTGATCGTATCCTTCTTAGAGCGGCAAGGCTTAAGTTGTCGGAGGTAGCAATAGGAGGGACTATGATTTTAACCTGTTGTGAATTGGAACAAATTTGGGAGACGAAATGGATGTCAATTAGCTCAGTCTTTGCCTTAGATGATGAGGATGAACGTTCGATCATGAGATGAAACGAAGGAGTTCGGATTGATTTTTTTAGAGGATAAATTCAGGTCGGATCAAGTTTAGGTTTAGGGCGAAAATGCCCGACCCGACCCAGAACATAAAGTAATCGTATCTTGAATATTTTGGGATAATTGCAATATTAATACTCCTCTTTATATTATTTTTTCAATTAGATCTTTATTTTATTGAACAAAATTAATATCTTTTATAAATATATTTTTTGAGTCGGGTCAGGTTCGTATTTTATCTCAAAAGAATAAAGTCACCTTAAACTTGGGTTGTGTCGGATTTCGGGTGGAGGATATATATTTTTCGGGTTAGGTTGATTTGCCAAAAACCAGCCCAACTCGACCCATGCCATCCCTAGACGTTATAGAAGATGAAGAGGGAGTGTGGGAAAAGGCGAAGATGAGAGATTGAGGAGTTAGAGAAGTGGTGATGGTAAGGCTCTAGAAAGGATTGTAGTCTTTGAGAGTCAGGACGTCAGAGAGCCTGGTAGGTAGTTTGATGGTGTGTTGAAGATGACAGTAGGTTTCACAATGGTGATGGATAGAGTGGTGGTGAGTTTGTGGATTGGCATTGCTATTGAAGAAAGTATGCTCTTTATAACGGTACTATATGTTTTTCTATCACTAAAGGTTAAGGAGTGGAGAGTGGAGAGGAAAGAGGAGTTGGTGTGGTGTTTCGGAAGAAGTTGGTGGTGTTGTGATAGAGTTAGTGGCAGAATGCAGGATCCGTCGATGATCCCATGAGCTTTTTGGCATCGAAAAAGAACAACAATCAAAACGAGAGAAAAATGTCAAAGATAAAGAAATAGGGAAAAGAAGTTAAAAGGACCTTATTGGTTTTTCAGAAATAGTTTAGGAGTCAAATCAAATATTAACCTCTTTATTAATATGATACATCATCAATTGAACAAAAATTGATAGTTGAGTAACAATTTTGTTATAAATAGATAACATCAACAATTATATAACTTTTCAAACTTAAGTAGTAATAAAAGTTACTACCCGAAACAATCAATAGTGATCATTGTTGTAGTTTATTCAAGATTTAACTTTACTCCAACTAATGACATCCAAGAGTTTGTAATAATATGGATTCAACTAATGGCATGTGAAAACTCACTGTCACATATACTAGGGAGGATCCGCGATGGATAAGAAATTATTATATTATACTCGGCTCACCACAATATTTGTAGTCTCAACTAATAAAATTTATTTATAAAATAATTTTTAAATAACTATTCACTCATGATTTACATATAGAAAAGATGTGAATATAAAAAATGTGATAGATAAATTTTATTAACTAAAATCACGAATGACGTAATTAGTCAAATTTATCTAATAATTTTTTAGTGATGGTGAAACATTGTAAGAAAAAGTGGCCGAGAAAGACGGGGTTTAGTGTCATTGTCGGTAGGCAAGATTAAGGATGTCCCTCCCATGCACGCGCCTTCCTTGTTGGCCTGCATAATCATTCAATTCTCAAACATAACTCATACACATAATAACTAATAAGAATTAAAGAATGTTTTTTAATAAAAAAAAAAGTTTACATGGTTTGCAAGTTTATTAATAAGACACCATTAGTTTTATGAGTGGCTCATGCTAGATTATAAAGTAAAGCATGAAGATGGAGGCAAACAAATAGAAATATTCAAATTTGATGCAATATTGTTTGGGATGGATATGGGTCGGTTTTCGACCAATCCAACCCCAACGACTTGAAAAGTATACATCCTCTTACATGAAATTTGAATTGTCCTTGATTTAGGATAATTTCACTACACCAAAAAAATAAAATCTGAATCCGATCCGATCCGAACAAATATATTTATAAAAATTCTTAACTTTATTTGATAAAATAGAAATCTAATTGAAAATAACATTTAGATAATTATTATTGTAACTATCTCGAAATATATAAGGTATAATTATATTATTTTTGGATTGAATTTTGGTGGGTATTTTTCATCCTAAAACTGAATCTAACCCGGTTTGAACTTATCTTCTAAAAACCCAACTCAACCTAAACCCAAATTCTTTTAAAAAATGGTAAATTACACCAGATACCACCGAACTTTAGGCGTTATATCGTTTATACCACTGAACTTTCAATTTTGCTAATTATAGCACTAAACTCTTATTTTCGTTTCAATTATACCATTAAATCGTTAAACTGTTAACGACACGATAATGTGGCTGACGGCTGCCGCCATAGACACCTCACCAAATCAACGCCATTTTGATCCGATTATTAACGATTTAACGGCTCAGTAGTATAATTGAAACGAAGAACAAACTTCAATGCTATAATTAGTAAAATTAAAAGTTTAGTGGAATAAACGATAAAATACTTAATGTTCGGTGTTATCTAATATAGTTTACCCTAAAAAAATCTAACTATTAGATCGGATCGGATGAAACCTATTGAATTCATATTCAGTGTCCATTCCTAAATAGTATTGTGGAGGTTGGGAAAGCAATCAGCGGACTAGGTTGGTGATATCCTTTCATAATCTTAGCATTAAATCTTTAGGTGCAAATAGGTTAGGCCCACGTAGAATCAAAGCCACCTCCACCACTCTTTCCCAATGGAAGGACTTCATGATTCAAGGAATTCTGCACAAACGACGAGCCATAGACTAGATGCTATGATAAATCAATCATAGGCTGCAGCCAGGTTGAATTTATTTGAATGCTCGTGCTCAATTCATTAGAAAGTCTAAAGAATCACAATCTAATTTAAGGTTAAAAAAATATAATTATGATGTATAATTAAAAATATGATAAAAATCATAATATTTTAAGTTGAATGCAACTTAAATTATTACATTTTTCTTAACATTTTCGATTGAATCAAAATTGTTACTTTTTTTCTTAATATTTTCGATTAAATCAAAATTGTTACTTTTTTGATAACATTTTCGATTAGTAATCGAAAATGTTACATTCTTCGTAACATTTTAAATTCAACAAAAAATGTTAATAAAAATGCAATATTTTAAGTTATGATCAACCTAAAATATTAATAGAAAAGTAACATTTTAAATTGCACTCAACCTAAAATGTTATGTTTTTTTATCATATTTTCGGTTGCACTCCAAGTCATCGGCTTTAACCTTAAATTAAATTGTCGCACAGCAAAATCACCACATTTTTTTGTCTGACCCAGCTCCTTGTGAGAACATCGACTAAGGTTAAAGTTAAAATATTTTTTAAAAAAATTTGATTAAAATGATTATTTAATTAAATGTTGAGAATATATATATATATATATATATTGTACATAAAAGTTTAGGTCAGTGGTGGCTTCACTAGATAGGGCAAGGGCATGTCTAAGACACAATTGGAATTTATATAAGAATTTATAGATTGCCCACAAAGAATGACGGTAGTAGGATTCGAAAATATTTTTTTATATTATATTAATAATCTTTATCAACCAAGATTGCAAATAGTTAAAGAAGTCATAATGTCACAAGCTATTTCCTTTCCGTCTAGCTTCCTATATGATGAAAACATACAAAAGAGAAGTGTGTGACAAAACCAATCATCCATATATATATATATATATCGCTAAATTTTGGCATCGATGTAACCTTGATGCCTATCCCTCTTTGCTCTTTTTAGGGTTAATTCTGGGTGACATTTAAAGTCCTGTTTGATCTTTTTTTCTCTCCAACATTTGATGTATTTGACATCCATATTTATAGTTTGTTTTAATTAGAATCTTATTTTATATTAGGTCTGATCGGGTTGGATCATATTTATACTTTAAAAATCTAGGCCGAGTCGAATTCGGGTAGAGTGTATATATTTTCTAGGTCGAGTCGAGTCGAATGAAGGATATATATTTTTCGAGTCAAATTAAAATCGGATAGATGATATATATTTTTTTAAATCGAATCGAGTTGATCAAAAACTCGATTCAACCCAAGCTGTTAACATCCCTATGTTGTACTATGACTAGCGATGGACTTAGAGGGGCGGGTGTGGATGGTTGCCCCCTCCTAAAAATTTAAAACTAATATATATTTTATATACTTTTTATATTTTTTATTTAAAATA